AGGAAATAAGTCATTCTGACTCGCTCACTAGTTACACATTTATATATACCCAAAAAACCGTAACACACTAGAGTTCTTTCCATGAGGACTTCCATCAGGCAGGAGGAGATACAGCGAGGCATTTATTATACGGTTTCCATCGAACAGGAGCCATTTTGAGAACACATATCTTAATAACTATTACAGAGATACCATCAGGCCTCCATTAAACAAAAATAAATGTAACAAAATAAGCCCTTGCCTTTTTGGGGTGGTTACATATACAGGGCTGTTGCGTACTACCCCCAAATTCACCGATCGACTGAGGGAGACTCAAGCCTGATTGGGGCCTGGGGAAGTGCTTTGCAATCATCGCTATCTTATCAACATTTGTTTTTTCTACCTACATTTATATACGTTACAAATTAAACTAAGTACAACTGACTATTAAAAGATTAAACATTTTCGCGGATTTTGACGTCATTCTAGGATCTTTTTTAGCCAAAATCCACGAATTTGTTTCGTTCATATTAAATTTTGAAAAAAAAAAAAAACAATATAAAGTTCACTATCTTTTTTATCCATAATGTTGAATGTTTAAAATTCTTCAACTTTTAACAAGAAAAATCTCAAGTTGATGTTAAAAATTGCCTCAAAACATTGTTGATTTATTTAAGATGGAATGATCTATTATGACATGTCTCTAATTTTTATTTAGATACATTTTTCTAATTGAATTGTTCACCTATATTGCATATGATCCATTATTGGACATAATTAGGTTACAATAAAATTACCTTATGAAAACTGAAATGTAAATTTGTTGAAAAACACATATTTGTTTAAAATAAAAACTTTTTACGTTTAGGCGTATTTTATTTACTGACGTACAAATGCAAAAATAAATGAATAAAAAAATTTTTTAAAAATCAAGGAAAAATATTTTTTCTGATAGCAAAAGGATATTATTGGATTGTATACGAAAAACAAAAGAATGTTTATGTAGCACTATGATTGTGACATCCCCAAGAAGAGGGTGTGATTTTTATGGTCGGCGGACGAGGTCTTTGAAACTGGAACTTCTAAGAGGTACCCACTTAACCGAAGGGGAACAAAAGAATATATAATTGAGAGCTTTGGAGGTCCAGCGACAACAAACAGGACATTGATGATTTCCGGTTTTGATCTATATTGGTACTTACAATTGGGATTGAAGTAATCAGTTCTGATTCGGCCTTAGAATGTTTATAATGCGATATGTGGAGTATCCCTGCGATGCCCCGTGTCGTATGACCGAGATTATTTTTAATCAGCGTTTCCATTTGGTCATTACTAACGACTAAAGTCCTACAGGAGCACGCTAGGTCTTTCAGATCAAAATTTCCAATTCTGAACATAGCAAACGACTTACGAACAGTGCTCTCAGCTACGGCACCATCCCCCAAAACGGAATACATCTTTTTTTTCTGTTTATACAACGTTCTTTTTTTTTTTTTTTTTTCCAGAAATTAAAAAGCATCAGAGGTTGAAAATGCATCTCATTTGGTATTTGGAAATATTTAGATACCTAAACCGATCGCTGTTTCGGTGCCGCACGATTTAACGAAAATGCAAGAAAATGGCCCATTTTTAAAAAAAAAAAAAAAAAAAGAATGACTGGAAATAGATTGTTTAGAACAGGGAAAACGGTCCTGGGGAAAATTAAATTAACCATCATTAACTACTTCAAAACCCAGTCTGTATACGAAGATGATGATGATGATGCTGTGTATCTGTTGGGATTGGAAGGGCATTGTATATTACGTGCTTCTTCTGCAAAAAAGTACTTTTTCTCAAATGGGCCGATTAACAACGCCAGACCTCACGTCTGTTTGCAGGCCCGGCAGAAATTGGTACAATTTGGCTAGTATGTCCTACTATGCCCGCCATACTCACCTGACCTTGCAACTTCGGATTACCACTTATTTTGATCCATACAAAATTCTCTTTCTGGGAAGAAATTAACTTTTTCGGAAACCTGTAAAAACTTAGCCCAGTTCATCACCCAGAAAGATATCAATTTCTAGGAGGGGGGGATTCATGAAGCTTCCTCAAAGTTTGTGGAACAAAATGACATATACGGGGCTTGATCAAAAAGTATCGGGACTGGTGTTATAAACTACAGCACGTATCAATTCGGCATTTAATTTCCTTCGAAGACACACACTTTGTCATGCATCGTTTCCATTGATGAATCATTCCTGGAACTCATTTTTTGAGGTAGTGGCCACCTGCCTCGCTGCATTCTATTAGATTTCCTTAGACGTTTTGAAATCTTCTCCCTTTCAAGTGAGATTTGATTTTTGAAGAGGAAAAAGTAGCAAAGGACGAGATCTGGAGAATATGATGATTGTCGGACCTGGGGAATGTTGTCTGGTCAAAAACTACTGCACAGGTCATTGATGGATCCTCTTTAGTGGGTTGAGATGACCACACTCTGCACACTTTCCATCCAAGCACTGTTATAAACAATGGAAGTGAGCGATGACGTTATAATTTATTATAATTTATAACTTTTAATAATTTATAATAATTTATTATAATTTAGTATGTATGCGCGACAGAGTTCAAGGTCAGTCTGTGCCATGCGGCTTCACTCAGCTTACTTTAGCTCCGTTACTATAGCAACAGTCCCGATACTTATTGATCAACTGCGAGGTTGAATATGTATCTAAATATTATCTTTAAAATTCCTTTAAGAACGTTGTGAACTTTTCTTCCGACCGAATAAATATGACATCTAAAAATAATAACGATAAAAATGAAAGCTATAAAAAGCTGAATGAATAAAAAGTTCATTTTACAATTAGATCAGGGGTCGGCAACTCATTCGACCCCGCGGGCCGGATCGTGTTATGGACGAAGGCCATTAATGAAAAATTAAGGAAAATTAAGGAAAATTACATATGCAGACCCCTGTCAACCTAAATATTTAAAACCATAATGAAAATAAACATTGAGAAATCAGAAAAACAAAAGAAAATCTAAAATTAAAAAAAACACCTAACAAAAATTACTTTTCCTCAAGGAACGTCAAAATACTTCAAGGTGAAAAAAATCAACCGAAGTTAAATGGATGAAATTATGACGTGTAGGTTTGAAACTGTTATTGAAAATTGTTCCATAAACGAACCACACACACACACACACACACACATCAAACAAAAACGAAGCAACTTCAAATTCGGTTGGGTGGATCAGAGGAAGATAACAGCAGGCCTTTTGTCGAATTCGAAAGCCTCGTCTCTCATGTTAAAAATAGAGTCATTAGCAATCAGGCTCGTGGGCCGGTCAAAATGCCTTCGCGGGCCGTAGGTTGCCGACCCTTGATTTAGATTATCGAAAGGCAAATATAGTAATTTAAACTAGATTTAAATCAGATTTTAATTCGACATTATTTTTCATTACTATAAAGCGTTATATTTACTGGTTACACGTGTTTGAATAGACATACCCGTTCTTTTTCTCACGCAAGGAAAATAAAATCACGTAGAAAATATGGTTTCCCGGAATAAGTGAAGGAAGGTTTGGCCCCTGTCGAGATGTACATTTTTTTTTTAATAAGACTTTTTATGTTTAGTCCGGCAGACATTTATTTAACGCTTTGGAAGAAAAAACATTAACGTCTATTCAAATATAAAATAACATTTATAGTAATAAAAATAATGTCAGATTTAAATCCATTTATTTCTTCAATATCTTTCTGTGTGAAATTCTAGGAAGAGGAGTTATCATTATTTACAATTATTTACAATAAATTATATTTATCTTTATTGTTACTGCCACAACGTTTCGGCAGTTGTTTGCTCCTGCCTTCTTCAGGTGTTGGTTGATCTGGGTAACCTTCGGGGATTTTCGAACTGAACACTTTATTAAATCTACGGGGTTAGATAGTTCTCGTTTAGCTGTTCACGTCTAGGCATATATCTTATTTAGGACTTATTTTCGTATTGCAATTTAGAGTCTAGCCTTAGGATTATCCCATGGGACCATAACCTATAGGATTGAAGTGTTTGCTCCTTTATTTGATGGCGTGGTAATTTTGAGTTTAATCATTTGGCAGTATAGTATAGACTCAGACAATGTAAGACTATCATATTCATTATAACTAGCCATAAAAAACAACAAAAGTATAATGAAAGAAAAATTAATGAAAGTTCAACCTATTAATGGCCACTATCCCATTTTTAAGTTGTAGGTACAAGCCTATCATTAATATAGAAATTTTTATAAGCACACTATAATTAATATCATATTTTTTCGAGGCCTATAATTAGTGTCACCTTTATATAAGGCGACTATAATTAACACCATATTTTAAAGAAATCTATAATTAATACCGCTTAAGACCACTATAATTAATACCATACTTTGAAGAGGCCTATAATTAATACCGCATTTTTGTAAGCCCACTATAATTAATAGCATATTTTGGAGAGGCTTATAATTAATACTGCATTTTCATAAGCCGGCTTAAGCTGGGTCTTAATGTGTTAACGATAATGAAATGTTTTATCTGTGAAATTCAAACTAATTAAAACTGATACCAAAATAGTTACCATTGAAAGTCTCAACAAAATCAGACGTAATTTCACGATTTAGAGCTCGATACGTGAAAAAAAAATCGCTGACTAAATTGCATTTCATAAACCGCCACCTAGCGGTCTATGAATGAAGCTGACCGCGGTGACATTTACTGATGACTTACTTATATCGATTTATTTGCAGCTTATTGCGTATTGAAGTCTGTATAGTCTGTACATCATTTTTGTTGGAATCAATGCAATTTGTCCACAAACTAAGCAACCTGCTTTCCCTGTCTGGATGCAAATTTATTGTCATTATGCCAGACGACTTAATAAGTAACCTGAAAATTTGTATATATGTATTACATGCTCAAGTGTGTGTATGAGAGGAAGACAGATAGTGGAGAGATGAAGTTGGCAGAGCAGACGCAGTCGTCCATCTTTTTTTATGCTTACCTTCAGTTCGTCTGCTTCAATATAACCGCTATGGTCAGCATCGAATTTTTTCCAGGTCTATAAAAAAAAAAATTATTCGGCTATTAAATCGTAAATAAAGAAAATGAAGGCCTAAACAAGCAGAAAGTATATTGGAAAGAAGAAAGGGGAGAAAAAGAAGAGAAGGACAAGATAAGAAAGAGACAAAGAAGAAGAAGAAGAAGAAGAAGAAGAAGAAGAAGAAGAAGAAAAAAAAAGCAATGAAATGTTTGAATTGACCGAAGAAAAATATATATAAAGAAAATACAATACAGTAAAGGAACGAGAAACATTATGAAAGCAAATTTTAAATGTAAGGAAGTGGGTGTGATGGTTAATGAGAGCACGGGACTTGAATTGTATTTAACTTTATATTTTATTCGTTTCAACACTTCGTTTTGTGATATCAACGAATACTCGTTGTCACTTTCGTAATGCTCGTTGTAGTAGAGACTTTGTAATCGCAGATACAAATATAGTACGCCGTTGAAAAATACTGGTGTCAGACGCCTTCGAATAGCACTCGCATTAATAGCACTTGCTCGATAATACTCGCTCGAATAGTAATCCGTATAGTGATCCGAATAAAGAAATAGTATAGTGAATAGAGTAAAGAATAGCGATCCATATAGCAAGAGAGGATAGACTAGAAATGACGATCCGAATAGTAATCAGTAATTTATATAGTAATTTATACTTTTTATGATGTAAACTATAGATTTTGTGATTCGTTACCACTTTTGTGATGCCAACAAATACTCGTTGTCACATTCGTAATGCTCATTGTAGTAGAGACTTTGTAATCGCAGATACAACTATAGTAACACCATTGAATAAATGCTGGTGTCAAACGCCTTCGAATAACACTTACACTAATAGTACTTGCTCGATAATACCCGCTCGAATAGTAATCCGTATAGTGATTCAAATAGAGAAATAGCATAGTGAATAGAGTAAAGAATAGCGATCCGTATAGTAATAGAGGATAGACTAGAAATGGTGCTCCTTTAGACGTCACGCTACTACCTACTTACGCGTTTCTCCCATAGTCACGTGATCCACTTACTTCAAGAATAGGATCGCCTGTATTTGCTCACTGGTGATCTATGTTCAAAACTCAAGTGTCGGCATTGACACTTTATTTCTATATAACATTTCGTCAGTTACTTTCGACCAGTACGTGAAAGCGAGGTCACGGGCCTTCATCCAAAACGTGGGCCTTACATTCTGTCTGCGACTTGAGAAATTACCCCAATCTTCTCTGAAGTGGTTGCTTATATAAACATGTGTATTAAAAATATTCTCCTCGCTTTCAAAACAGGATTCAGGTTTGAATACACGTTTTTTCGACGGTTGGGATTAACCTCTATGACAAACCTGCAAGTAGTTCCTTTGATAGTTTGGTCTGAAACTGAGTTTGACACGATCCGAGGCGATATACACATTGCATAAACTAACAAAATTATAAAGTGGATTGATTAAATATGATGTCACTAGGCGCAACAGGATTTGGGCAAAAATATTTTGCTACCGAAGGAAAAGCGTTAGACTAAATTGATTACTAATACGTGCCCAATTTTTCTTTATGCACATCGTTGTGAGGACATTGTCTTATATAAATTTCACAGGACAGCACCAAAAATAATTGTTTGTTACCCAGAAAAACGATGATGTAGTAGATTAAATCGAGTACGCTGATTCCGAATTCTTGCCCACACATGTTCTAGCACATCACCATTTTCCATTATTATTATTATTATTATTATTATTATTTCCATTGATTTTTGGTGTGTACACATTTCTTTCTGGGTCCCGCTCTGTGGCCTAAGGTCAGAAATGGCATCATGACATTTTCCACGGACCAATTAAAACACACACACATATTTTACATAGATAAAGCCCTTCGTAATGTGTGGGCTGTACTCGTGAGAACAATTTCTTTAAGGCATGGACATCCAGGAATCCCTTCAATAAGTCTACTGGAATCTTTTCCAGCCAATCCGAGGACTCCAACTATAACAGGGATTGTTGATGTTCCCATGTGCCACATTTTTGAGATTTTCGATTTCAAGATTTTGATAGCTTTTTATTATTATTATTATTATTAGTGTGTGTGTGTGTTATGTTTCTTGCTTTGTATCCTGTAGAGCTGCGTCTAAACTATGGTCCTTAGGTCCTATAGGAGAATTGACATTTAATTGATAGCACTTTTCTTAGTATATGGGATGTATTTCAGGAATCAATGAGTCTACTGGAATCTTTTCCAACCAAGGGCTCCAACTACAACAGGGATTGTTGATGTTCCCATGTGTTACATGTTTTTATCATATATTAATCCATATTATTATGTACATTATTGTGAAGAAAGCCTTCACAGTAATGTGCTTATATAAATTACACCGGAAATCAGAAAAACGATGATGTAGCAGTTTAAATTGAAAACGCTGATACTGAACGCGTGCTCAAAACTGTCTTGCGCGTCAGAACTTTCACCTATCATAACGAATGGTTGTTCTCCCAATGAGGCGCCTTGTAGTGAACGCCTAATGGGAGTCAGCCACCCCAAACCTTAAGTGGGACACATTAATACAAATCATCGCTAAAGATGTTGGGAATATTGTCGGTATCTTGTACAACTCCAGTGAGTTTCTGACTCCTCCTGCTATTTACAAAAACAGATCAGACCAAAAATGGAGTAATGTTGTCACGTCTGCAGCTACCCGGTCCTTACTTTCTTACTCCCCAGCATTAACAAAATTCAGAAGCGTCTACGCCATTTTGTGATTATTTAATTATTATGTGATTAACTATTTTATTACTCTAGTAAGTAGCTGAGACCGCTTGCTATGATCTATCTTTGCAAGAAGAGATCAGACCAAAAATAAGGTACTGTTGTCATGTCCGTAGCTGCCCGCCCTTTACTTTCTTGATTCCTAGCCATAACAGAATTCAGAAACGTCTTCGCCGTTTTGTGATTAATTATTTAATTGGAAGGACGAGGAGGCTTGTCATCATTGTTCTATCATTTATCATAGCTAAAAGAGCTATAAAAGATAGGAAGTTGTGGAGAAAGTTGGCGGCCATGAAATGCAAGTAGGAGTCACAATCACATCTCTGAATTCAAAGCCGTACGTGGCCCTGGTAACTAAGGTCTGCTCATCGTAGTTGCAGTATAAACCATTCTGTTGGTGTTGGAGAAACAAACATGGACCTGGGTAGGTGGTCATGATCGGGAATGAGCAGCCACGCTGAAGATGAGGCACTAAACATTCACCTATTATAATGAATGGTTGTTCTCTCAATCAGGCTCCTTGTCTGGAACGCCTAATAGGAGTCATCCACCCCAGACCTCAAGTGGAACTCATTAATACAAATCATCGTTAGAGATGCTAGAAAAATGGTCGATTCCTTGTATCACGCCAGTAAGTACCTGAAGCTGAGATATCACACTGATCTGATTTGGGTCTTCAAGTCGAAACAATGACAATGGTCAGAGTTGGGTTCAGTATGATTTTTCTCTTTGCACATGTATTTATTATCTAGAATTGAAACTAGAGCCTTTTCCTACGTTTTCCTATATGTAAGACTTACATGGAAGTTTTTGAGGTCAAAGTTCTCCTTGCAGTAAAAAAGGAAGATGACGTTTTATTATTTATTTCGAAAGTGAATGGCAGTAATGAGCTAAAACAAATGATACATTCTCATAGATCGAGGCCAAGAGGACAAATTTACTCTTCTGTTTATTTTTCTTTTCAGTAAATTCTTATCAGCTACAGATACGACCAGTTTTCACAATGGTGCTACGGGTATTGGAAAGACGTGTAACCGGATCGGCGTTAAAAATAGTGACAAATATTTAACAACTTCGATTTAAAGCATCAGCCAATCGGTTATCAAGTGGGTGATGTTGGTCAATCCTGAAAATCCTAAAACCGACCGAGATACATAGAGATTGAAAAGAAGAAGAAGAAGAAGAAGAAGAAGAAGAAGAAGAAGAAGAAGAAGAAGAAGAACTGAAACAAAGAGAACACAAAGAAGAAGAGAAACAAGAATAAGATCAGGAACAAAAAGATGAAGAACAGGAAGGAGACGAAGAAAAGAAACGGGTGTGGCACTATTTAGTTATGGTAATTGGCTAAATAATTAACCAGAGAAATTAAAAACAGGAAATACTTAATGCGAGAAAGCGCTATACCGAAAGATAGACTGGGCGATATTAAAAAGAAGAATTTATTTTATTTACAAAAGAAAGATACTTTTCGCAAAAGACAGAAAATCAGTAAGAAAAAGCGAGACTGTGATTCTGTCAAATTAATTAATGTCACGATAAGGGAGTGACGCGTCAAACGAAACAGAATTCTGAAAGATAAACAAAGTCGGTCGATGCATGCGGCCATAAAGAATTTCAGCTTGAGACCACCCTAGAGAATAGCTATTAATTATCTTTCAGAGATATCATTTAACTTTAATTCCTGATTCCATCGAAGGAAGCCATCTGGTCTATGTACGAATCTTGACATGAAAAAATGTCGAAAATGGGATCATTATTATTGCTTATTCAAACTGTTGACTCGAAAATGAGCATCTGGTGATAAGAGAATTTTAAGACATGAGAAAAATAAAGAATTTAATTGCCGGGTGGACACAGCCACCCAGTTAAAGGTTGACCAGCGGAGAAGCCACACTGCCGAGAGATCATTGGCTAACTGGTAGCATGGGTGATAGGCAGAGGTGAATATGTGAGAAAGACGGAGAAGTTGTTAACACCCACTGAGGGGATTGATATGAGATACCAATGTGAGAGAGGAAGAGTCTAGGAGGGTAACTCTCCTCCGACCCTCCCTCACGGACGAGGGAGAAACCTCCGAAACAGAAAATGGTTAGTCTTCCAAAAATGGGAAGTAATTAATTTTCCTGGCCTAAGGACAAAGAGAATTCCTGTTGGGAATTGAGAATTGTCAAAGAACCCAAACCACGTCAGGCCCCACCTCGGAGTTGGTTGGTGTCCATATAAACAAACATCTCGAGGCAGCAGATCATAGAGTTTCGGCAGAGTCCCAGACACGGTCGGAGTTACAGAGTCAGAGTGTTGCCTCGCCGAAGCTAACCGAAAGATTTCCACGTCCTTTTCGAATTAGTCTTCCTACCAAAAGCAAGTTTTTATTGACGAACGACTTAAGATACCATAACTCGCTTAAGAAACGCAAAAATTGTCAGGAATCCATAGAAACGGACCGGGAGAGAAACACACTCCTGTATTCAACAGATAGATAATGTTAATTGTTATTTCTCAACATATTTGAACCTCGTGATTTTGTTTTATTATTTTTCTTTTGCTTACGCTTGTGCGGTATCACATTTACCCCGGATTTAGCTTGCACTACGGCCCGACGCCTGACTGATTTCGTCTACCTAGGATCAAAGTCACAAACTACGTGGGTAGGTTAGACTTGAGATCAAAGCAGTTACTTCGGTGACCAAGCGTTTGAGGCGAGCTGCGAACGACAAAGCTGGTATCGAACCGGAAACGACCAGATCGACCGGGACACAGGTTGGTGGCAGCGACAAGGAGTCAACCCCAAAATGCTGGTGGAAGAAACCTTACAGTTTCGCGCCGCAACTGGGAGTTGACCTCGGGCCGACGGCACAGTGTCATATATTGATGTCGCGACCAGTGGACGTCATATATTGACGCTGGACTGCGACTGCGACCGCGACCACCGGTGAGTGTCACATGGGAACAAGAACACAAAGAAGAAGAGGAACAAGAATAAGATCAAGAAGAAGAACAACAACAACAGCAGCAACAACAACAAGAGGAACAAAAACAGGGACAAGAAGAAGAGCAACAACAACAATAACAATGACAACAACAATTACAAGAATATGAATAATAATAAGAACAGCAACAAAAATAAGAGCTGGGACAAAAACAAGAAGATGAATAACATGAACAAGAAGAACAATAAGGAAATTGGTATTTTTCCTCTAAATACGCGCATGCGTGTTACAAATACTATTTTTTATGCTTGCTAAAGGTCAATTGAGCGAATAAATGCAAAATACAATTGGGTGGGGTCATTATCACCCGATGACAAAGAAATACTGATCGAAACATCGTTGCTGACATTTTCACACATGCGCCAGCTGAACGAATAACCTTATTTTTAAATTTCCCATACGATATTTTGTGAACATGACGTCATCACATTAACATCTGTTCCTTTTTTTGTTTGTTTTTTTTTTCATTCTTTCTTCAGGTGTAAACATGAAATCGGCAAAAACAATTCACTTCAAGTTAAAAAAACAAACAAACAACTTTTAATAAAAACTAAAGAGTTCTACAACATGTTGCATTGAGAAAAACATTGAAAATGAAAATATGGGGCGAATTTATTAGTGTTATTTATACGAGAACTGTCTGCTTTTAACGGGATCGGTGTGATAAGTTCAGGTATAGGTCAGCATGTTCAGGTGAAGTAGATGTCGGTTGACGTGATAGTAATTTACAAGTTGAAGGAAACGGCAGAAAGTCATGTTATGATACAGTTCATTGATATTTTAGTTATTACCTAGAAGTATGACTGTTACGTATGCACTCCCATATACAGGGTGTATCAAAACTACTTTTACAAACTTTGGAGGCAGGTTTCTCACACCAAGACAAAAAGAAAAGTCCATATAAACATATGTCCGCAAATCCTTCGTTTTGAGTTATTAAGTTTAAAGAAAATTTACGGTAGATGGCGCTCTGTTGCCATGTAGACTAGGTTACATTTGTTATTCGTGTACATTTGTGGCCAGTCTGGCGTCAACGTTTAACGTGTGTAGTAGTGAGTAAACTCAGAAGTGTTCTGTTTAACAATGCCAGGATATTCGTATCGTGAGGAGGCAGAGATGATTTTTACATATGGCCGCGCCAATGTTAATGGACGCGAGGCTGCCAGCACAGTTGTATCAGATTGCGTTTCCAGACCGAAGGCAGTCGAGTCGTCCAATCTTTGCTGCTGTTTATTGTCGTGTTGCCGAGACAGGATCCGTGGCTCCACAAACTATGGATCGAGGAAGACTGAGATACCTGACACCAAGAACACATTCTACAGCCTGTCAGAGGCGATCCAGATATCAGCACACGTCAAGTGGCCCTAGTATGTTGTATATTTCATAGTACCTCATGGAGGGTACTTCAAGATCATCTCCTGTATTTGTATCTTTTGCAACGTGTGCAGGGTCTTTCGCCTTCTGATCACTCACCACGGGAGAACGAGGGTTTATTGCACAAACTGCCAATCCGTTGTTTGTCTTTTCAGTCATGTTTACGGATGAGGCAGCATTTGAAAGAGTTGGAATAACAAATTTAAACAACCAACATTTGTGGGTGGATCGGGATTCCCACGGTACAATACAGGCTAGACACCAGCATCAGTTTTACATTTAATGTGTGGGCTGGAATTGTAGATGACTGTCTTGTAGGTCCATATCTTTTCCCAGCACGTCTTACAGAAGCTAACTACAGGAATTTATTTCGAACACACTTCCAGACCTGCTAGAGGATGTACTCCTGCTAATATGAAGTCGCATGTGGTTCATGCTTAATGGGACGACAGCACATTTAATCACATTGTTAGCGATGAATTAGCTGATATCTATCCTGAAAGGTGGATAGGTAGGGAAGGAACGGTTTTGTGGCCTGCACGTTCTCTCAACCTCAATCTTTTAGATTGTTATGTGTGGGACCACCTAAAACAATTAGCTTATGCAGCGGACATTAATAATGCAGAGACGCTTCATCAACGTGTCATGGAGGCCTGCGAAACCATTTGGCACCATGTGGGAGTACTAGAAAGGGTCCGCCAGTCAATGATCCGACGGGTGAAAATGTGTGTAGAAGCAAGCATATGATATTTTGAACATTTGTTATGAGTTGCTGTGTTGAGGTACAACGATGGCATTTTGGACATATATTTATATGGACATTTTACCTTGTTCTGGTGTGAAGAACCCGCCCCCAAATTTGTAAAAAGTATTTTGATACACCCTATATATATATATATATATATATATATATATATATATATATATATATATATATATATATTATCGCTTTAAACGTTATTTTTAGTGGATACTCGTATTTGAATAAACGTTCCATTTATTTATTTTCGTCTAGCAGCCTGAATGTTCGACAAATTTTTTAAAGAAAAATTTGCGTATTCCAGCAGGCTTCGAACTCGCGTCCCCCAGGTTAAATTCATAAAATCTAGGTACCAAAGTAGAAAGCTCATCAAAACAATTACTCTGAAAATATTTTTAGAAAAAGCACAGGGAAACTATTTTACGGCGATAGGAAAGTGAGTAAAGCCGAGATGCCAGGTCAGGATTAATAACATTGCGGATTCTTCTTTGTATTTTATCAAGAATCTATATATACATAGCACGAGCACCATACCAAATTTGACAGCAATATTCAATGTATGGACGAATGGTAGACTTATAAATTAATTTTATGAATTGTTCATTTGATGTTGATAAACTAACCTGCATGAATTCAACACTGGACTCCAATGGATGCTCTCTTCTGAATAGAAGCAAGAACTTCTCCTCCATCGGAAGTAGTTGGGCCAGCTGGAAAGCAAGGAAAAGAAGAAGAAAAAAACTATCATTAAATCTCAAAAGACGAATGAAAATCCTCGTTACGAGGGTGAAAGAGAATGGCAATAAAACGACTTGGGTAACGGCGCAATTTGAGGAAAGTCTCATTCTGGTGTTGATTTGGAAGACATATTCACCCTAAGAAAGAAAGAAAGAAAGAAAGAAAGAAAGAAAGAAAGAAATGTTTAATGTCGCTTGCCTATACCTCATGAATAGACTATTCCGATTTGAATGCGTGGAAAGAAGTAGGAAAAGCATTACTTCGTTTCAGTGAAAAAAGTGAAAGAAAGAAAGAAAGAAAGAGAGAAAGAAAGAAAAAAGAAAAAGAAAGAAAGAAAGAAAGAAAGAAAGAAAGAAAGAAAGTAAGTAATGTTTAATGTCTCTTGTGAATACCTCATGAAAAAATAAACTATTCCGATTTGAATGCGTGGAAAGAGGGGAAAAACATTACTTCGTTTAAGTGAAAGAAAGTCAGTTAAGTGCCATCACGTGATACACGCTTGGGCGATCATGTCTCTTTCGATTCATGACTGATTAGGCTGAAAATCTTCCGCAGTAAGTGCAATAGAGTGGTTGACAACCAATGCTATAAAACCCAATTAAAACAAAGTAATAAGAAACGGGAACATTTTGTTAGAAATAAAAGCAGTACTGAAATGTTATGTAATATCAGTTCTCCTATACGGCAGTGGATGCTGAACAATTTCCTCACAGATGATTGATTGATTGATTTTTATTTTACGGCTTATCAACCTTTTGCAGGTTATTTAAAGCCAGAAATTATTTTTTTAGCTTGTTAATTTTTTTTACTGATACAACTACAAATTAATTTATAATTGGTGGAGGGTGGATATCTGCCTTTCCCAAGGGTATTTGCGCGTAACTGAATGTAACGAACCCGACTAGAATTCGAACTCGGAACTCTATGGACCTAAAATGTTGGTTCTGTAGCCAATACACTGAAACAATTGATCGCCTTATCTCAGAATGCTCAATACTGTCACCCAATGGGCACAAAACTTGTTATGACAGAATAGGTCAATATCTGTATTGGAAGATCTGTCATCACTACTTGATAAAAACAGCTGCAAACTGGCATGAACATCATCTTGAATCTGTAGTTGAGGGAGCAGCTGTTATATGCCTCTGGGGTTTTTCTATCAACACAGATCGAACAATACAAGCAAATCGCCCAGATATTATTATCAAAGACAGAAAAGAAAAAGGTTTGCACACTAATTGACATGAGTGTATCAAGTGACAGAAAAATCTCTGCGGAGCTTTTTGAAAAACTAAGCAAATACAAACACGTGGTGATGGAAATAGAAGAAAAAAAAATGACACTTAAAAACTATTCCAGTTGTTGTAGGAGCTTTGGGTCTGATAAAGAAAGGAACTCAACAGCAAAATCCCTTGTGAACCATCTTAGTCTTAGTTTTTTTTTTATATTAAGTGTTTTCTTTTTTCTTTTTCCTTCCCATTTTCATTTCTTTTATTTAAATATACGAGAGTAAATCAGAAATGATCCACACTTTCACCATAAGTTTATCTTCAGCTTTGTTAAACTGCCTTCTGCTCATGCGTGCTTATAGTTGGTACTATTACGGTCACGTGATCGAAGTTTGAGCTTAGTCGCGCCAGTTTTCTTGTTGCTCTTACAGTGTAAACATGACCATTCTACTAGCAGTGTTCACCAAGGAGGAACAATATGTGTAGATATATCTAATTTGGAGGGGACACCTCGACGCGGCGTAATGGTTAGCAAGCTTGTCATTGGGTGCCCTATACCTTCGGCCTTGTGCCACATCTAAGCTAAGCTTAGAAAATCAATATATCTAGTTTGGAGGATCCGTCATCACTACTTGATAAAAACAGCTGCAAACTGGCATCAACATCATCCTGAATCTGTAGTTGAGGGAGCAACTGTTACATTACTCTGGGGTTTTTCTATCAACACAGATCGAATAATACAAGCAAATCGTCCAAATATTATTACCAAAGACAGAAAAGAAAAAGGGTTGCCCACTGATTGAAACAAGCGTACTAAATGACAAAAAAATCTCTGTGAAGTATTTTGAAAAACTTAACCGTACCTATGGACTTATAAATACAGTGGAATATACTGTATGTTGGATTCACTTCCAAATGTGCTTGTCAAAGTCTCTGCCTCCGGGCAGACAGGAACCCAGACGAAGCTATGTCGAAGGGCAGAGTCTCGTCTGGAGATTGTAGACAGTTACCCGATCCTGTGTATATGGGGTCTACGGGGAATTTTTTGCTCGAGCTTACGGGTTCGGTTTACCACACATTAAATTCGGCCTTGTGCTACATGTGACCGCGTGGGGAGGTTAGTGAATATCTTCATTGGGATTCACTTCTAGCTCACCACTTTGATCACTTACTACATGCCGCTGGCAAATCTTGCATGTTGTTCCTGTTATAAAGATTATCGTTCCATTTCCAACTTTCGTTTCGATTATTCTTATTCAGTAACGTTTTCCTAGGTTACAACACTAAGAAAATATAAAAAGACCGAGAAATGGAAAAAAGAAAAATACGGCACTTTAAAAACTAAAACTCTTTCTGTTGTTGTTGGAGCTTTGGGTCTGTGTCATGATGTTGATTTGGGGTTAGTAGAGACAAACGCCAAATAACACGTAACAATAAAAAGGGTTTTAATGGGTTGGTAAAAAGGTACAGAAATCGCCTTAGTAGTCAATAACTAGCTAAGCTAAGAACTTCTCTGTCGATCTATCTTCTCATTATTTAAAGTCTCTGTTCACAGACGCAGACAAGTTCATCTTCAAGAGGGATGGTAGGTTTCCGACACAACAGTCTGATAAAGAAAGGACCTCAAGAACAAATCAAGAAAGTTCTTGGTGCATCATTTGTCCAGAAATCTAAAAAATAATTCTAACAAACAGAAAATAGCTTGTGAATAGCTTTGGCCATTTATGTTTTTTTGTTTTTTTTTGTTGTTGTTGTTAGTAGCCGACTTTTTATTTAGTTAAATGAAACCAATATAAAATTACATCCTTCGCTTGCTGTAGGACTATGACCCGGCATAAAACAAATACATGTCAAAAAGAAAATTTTAAAATAATAACAATAATAATAATAGCATCATTTCTTTCTTTTTTTTTCTTCTTTCCTTCATCTCCTCCTCCAAGAATGTTTAAAAAGCTACAAATCGAAATTCTCACCTCTCTGATATCAATTTTCCCATCATTATTCTCATCAAAAGCTGACATGAAGAGATCTTTGGCGTCACCAAAAGCAACATCGGAAACCACCTGAGAGAATATAATAAAGATCAAATCAAAAACACCAATGGAAATTTCAATGCGATATAAGAAATATGTCTTTAAAATATACAACTATATAATAAGAAAAAAGAAAGAAAAAGAAGCTGGCAGACAGCTGTAATATTTTAAAAATACTTATAATTTATTTATTAATTATAATTTTTACAAGAAATGGATATAAGAGGAAAGCGTTTAGCATGAAGTTTTATTTAAAATTCAATATGGTCACCAGATTTCGCTACCAGCTCCTCAAGCCGCCCAGGAATCACGTTAAATGATTTCACCAGGAACTCTTGTGGTATGGAAGACATAACTTGTATTCGCCCTTCAAGATCTTCCAGAGTCTTGGTTTGGTATAGTAGACTTGTTCCTTTAACCAACCTCAAAGAAAATGTCACAGGATCTTAAGTAACTTCTGGCTGGCCACCCATACATAAAACAGGGAGTTACTTTTCAATCACCCTGTATATATACACTTGAGGGCTGTCTACTCGATTTCGAGAATGGCGACTTAATCGTTGTTTGGCTTTTTCATGAGCTTTCAAATGGCTTCCTAGACCAGCATCCGTTTTGCTAACAAATAGGCAATTGAGACACACAGGTTCAGTGTTATACATGGGTGGAATGTTTCTGTTGTAGGAAAGAACATGACGTTTCAAGTCAGCATATCATTTGGCATTAAACGCTCATGTAGTTTTAGCTGCTGGTTAAAATATTTATTTTGTAAAAATACAAAATTGTGGCCGAAGGGAAAATGAATAGAGTCTAGTCTTCATTAGCTATCCTAGTCTTAATTAATCAGAATCATGACCAATTCATTCATTACAATTTGCCCATTCACCTCAAGAACTCATCCATCACCACTCAATCCTGTATATACCATAATACCGCATATTCAGAGGTGACATTCAGAATATCACATGATATAAAAATTTCAATTCTTTGTCCATAAAGTTCGTTCATATGAAAATTTCATGATTTATTAAATGATTTGGTTGGAGGATGAAACCAGAAAAACAAACTTAAAAATGAAACACAAAGATAAAATTAAACTAACTGCTGGTTAATTTCGGGCAATCCATTTGTCTATTCTGGCTTTAATTGCTGAAACACGATGAATGAACCGATCGATTACAAACAAGGTTCGTTTACGAAACTCTGGTTTCAGGGAGCTGAATATAACATCAATCATCTAAGTGGCAAATTTTATGTTTGTATTAATCCCGTATATATATATATATATATATATATATATATATATATATATATATGGAATGGAAAATAAAATTGATTCAGGAAAAAGCTCCACACGAAAATAAAATAAAATAAAATTAATTCAAGAAAAGCTCTACACGAAAATAAAAATAAAATAAAATAAAATTTAAGAGAATGAAAAATAAAATAAACTGTATTCAGGAAAAGTTCCACATACCATGTCTATTCAGAAATTTTAAAATTAACGAATTTGTGCATTTATAAATATTGTCTTTTTCTACAGGTTAACTCTGAGAAATTTTTATATATATATATATATATATATATATATATATATATATATATATTATGAAATGGACTAAGTCCGACAATTATTTCAATATATCTTCTGTTTATATGTTATTCTTAAATATTTGTATCTATAAGAATAACGTATAAATAGAATATATATATATGTATATATATATGTGTGTGTGTGTGTGTGTGTGTGTGTGTGTGTGTGTGTGTAAAAATATAGAGAAAATAGAAAAGAACAAAGTTCTTTAGTATTTTTGTTATTATTTTTAAAAACAGTGCTCGATACAAAAGTAGAGTATAAATATAATTATTTATTTAAAAATATGATTCCAACGCTATATAAGAGTTCTCATGTTTCAAAACAAGAGCCGAAAACTTCAATATAATTATTTGAATTAAATTGAATTAAAGTACAAAGATTGAAGTTTTCGGCTCTTGTTTTGAAACATGAGAACTCTTATGTAGCGGAATCATATTTTTAAATAAATAATTATATATATATATATATATATATATATATATATATATATATATATATATATATATATGAGAGAGAGAGAGAGAGAGAGAGAGAGAGAGAAAATGCTGAAAAGTTATCGACCCTACGCGCCTTGAAACACTTAATGCCAATGGTAGAATTATGATCGGATTAGTTTTGTTTGCATTTTGTTTACATTGTATTTAATATTTTTGATTAATTTCGTAGACATGAGTAAAATGTATTTCTCAACTGAAATACGTCTTAATATAGGCATTTAGGAATAAGCAAAGATACCGATGAAATATTTATAGGATTTTATCTAATGACACTATGACACTAAAACGTAAGAGGCTACAGGGAGTGAAAGGGAATGAGAAGACATTAGATGAAATCAGAAACATAATCCTAAACAGGAAATAAAGGATAAACCTCTACTCCTGTTCAAAAGGCGGGAAAGGAGTGTGAACCGGGCAATATTCTTATTATATATAATAATATTTGGAAACATAATTATTCTGATGCATTTAACTGCACTGTCCCGACTACATGAATTTAAGAATGCTACTAGATTGGTGCCATGTCTCACCCTTTTACTATTGAAGTAGTTAAACGTAACCACCACTTTTACTCCAACAGTTTCTCTTCTCACACTTCCCGACTGTGGAACTCCCTTCCTCTTAGTTGCTTCCCTGATAACTATGATCTTCAAAAATTTAAATGTAGTGACAACCGCCATCCTCTGTTGACTTGAACCCTGTTCATCTTTTATCCTTTCCTCAATCCCACCTATACCCAGTCTTTTCTCTCATTTTCACTTTCTGTAACTGTTATGGGGTTCTCCCCTTTTCATTTAAGTGGACTCTACCAGTGTTACTTGGACTGCTGCTGTTAAATACCCAGAGTTAGACAGTCAGTGAGAGAGGATATACGGATAGTGAGAGAATATACGAACGGAGATAGAGTGAGGTAGCCTCTTGTAGAAGTCAGTTACAAGGACGTAGACTCTAAGGAAGTCCTACTTCGAGACTGTATATATATATCTGTATATGCTACTAACCGCGTTCCTGGACTTACTAATAGTATTACCCTTTGTATGATTGTGTAAATACATTTTATTTCTTATATTTAATCCTTGCGATTGTCATTCATTGTAGACCGAACTCATCTCGGAATCCACAACAATAACCCTCTGCTTACTAGTGGCACTCCCGCTATGCTTGGGGGTAAAATGCTTAAAAAAAAAAATAAAAAAATAATTTTATATGTACGAGTGAATGTGAAGTTCTCGAATCAACCATTTTTCCTAAAATCTGATCAATATCAAATTTTTTCTAAAATCTGATCAATATCAAATTTTTTCAAAATTCTGATCAATATCAAATTTTTTCTAAAATCTGATCAATATCAATTTTTTTCAAAAATCTGATCAATATCAAATTTTTTCTAAAATCTGATCAATATCAAATTTTTTCAAAAATCTGATCAATATCAATTTTTTCAAAAATCTGATCAATATCAAATTTTTTCAAAAATCTGATCAATATCAAAATTTTTCTAAAATCTGATCAATATCAAATTTTTTCAAATCTCTTCTTGGTCTGATCGGGAATTTTTCAGCATCCTCTGTACGCGTGAAACAAACAGTGGCAACAAATTAGCCAATGAAATTTCTTATCCTTACTTTATAAGAGAAACGACTTTTGATTGGTCCATAAAATTCAAGACCATTGCATGCGGAGAATACAAAAGTGAAGTCTGTTCGCGCAACCATGGCAACTATCAAACTGATCGCAATCATGAAATGTAAGTTATCCACAGTTGACATTGTTATGTTTAATTTAAAGATTAATCAAGTGTTTTTTTTTTAAGGATATTATTTTAATCTCTTTTCTTGCTCCAAGTTTTGGTAATTGTGTTTTAAGTGGCCGACTTCGCAGCTGAGTTCATTCTTTTATCTTAACAAGATGTTTAAAAGAACCGATACAATTACAAACAAACCTCTCAACAACGGACTAATGGAGGGGATGGGGGGTCCGTTAAAGCCGATTGTCCGTAGATGGGAAGCGATTATTTTTGAGTTATAAAACCACTATAGTAACTACTAGTAATTATGATCATAATGTAAATACTATAAAAATGTATATATGGCATAAGTAAATATATACTTAATAGATATATTAATCAAAATAACAAAAATAATAAATTTCTCACAGCTAATTTCTCCCGCACGCGTTAATGTATCGTGCTTTATATACTGTACACCCGTCTTTGTTTACAATTCAAAGGCCAGCCACTGCCGCCAAGCGGTCGTTTTGAGATCCAATACGACTTGTTCCGCTAAGCCCGCAAATTTTGAAATACATCGCTGACGATTTGGAAGTTTTTTTTCCCAGCAAAACTTTTTTTTTAATTTTGCCTACAGAGTTTGTCCGTTGCATCCGGAGTCCGTTGATGGAGGGGGGTCCGTAGATGAGAGGTTTGTCTGTACTCTATTTGCATGTAGACACTTCAACGTGGTGTAATCGTCAGCAAGCTTATCTCGCTAGATCAATTAAGACTGAGTATGGAGTTCGATCCTCACTGGGTGATCTATATTTCCGGCTTCGTGCAGCATCTAAGCTACACTAAGTAAACCACTGTTCTGTTTGTATATACAATTACGAGTGGCGAATCAAGTTCAATTTCCAGATAAGGGCGTATGAGACCATCTCCTCTCTCCCCGATAGGGGTCAATAGCAGAGTAGACTAGTCCCCCTAGACTTGAGCGGTTTCGCATAGATACCCTTGGAAAGGTATGTGGCCATCTCCCTTCTCCTTTCTCCACGGTTGGTCTTAATGGCGAATTAGTCTTGAGTGGCAACGTTTGTATTAAAAATTATGAAACTAACCACAAGCTAAAACTAAAATGTTTTGCGTGAGCGTTTAATGCCAAATGTTATGCTGACTTGAAAAACAGAAACATTCCACTAAGGGATAACACTGAACCTGTGTGCGCCCCAGTTGCCTATTTGTTAGCAAAACAAATGCAACATTTGAAAGCTTATGAACAAGCCAAGCAACGATTAAGAAAGTGGCCATTCTCGAAATCGAATAGACAGCCATCATGTATATATATATATATATATATATATATATATATATATATAATTTAAATGAAAAGCAGACCACTTTAAGCCTCCATTGTAATAATTTATTTCATCAGAGAATTTTATTTTTCTCTGGATCTTCAGACTTCACTTTCAAAGGTGAAACGATAAATGAATTTAAAATTTACACTTTTGACGGACAGTATTAAGCTTATATATATAAAATAAATGCGAATGTCGCTGTCTCACACTTTTTCAATTAAAGGGACACAACTCTCAATAGCTCATCTTCCATATAATAAATGGCAATGTCAGTGTGTCACTGTGTCACACTTCTTAACTTTACTCCTACAGGACGTAGCCCAATATAACATACCATTTTGGAATCAGGCCGACTCCGTGAGCAAATTAAAAACATTTTGGGTCGGGTCCGGACCCGCCATCTTGAAATTTTGGATTCCCAAGTTTTCATTACTGCGATTGTTTTTGGCGATTGTTTTAGAGGATTTTTTTTTTTGACGAACTTTTTTTGTAAGATAGTAATTTTTATAAATTGGAAATAAATTTGAGAATAATCGAAAATCACTACGTTATCCAGCGAAAGTCACCAATGAAATAATATTAATTGTTTGTACAAAAAGTAAGGACCTATGTGCATCAAATTTCCGCTCCATCTCATTTTTTCTTAGGAAATGACACTCTCTAGTGTGTAAAATATGTATCCATTAACATACACTCCTGTTTAATTTCTGTGCTGCCATTGACTGTATATCTACGTGTTATTTATGAAAAATGATTTCTTAATTTTTGCTTCTTCTCTTAGTTTAAATTTAACGTAGGTCATATTCGATTGGTTGATCTGAGTAAAACCCGAAAACCTTATAACTCCACTTTTTTTCGTAAAAGAGGTTGTATTTTGTTTTAAATCTAAATAAATCGTTCACTCGCCTGTAGTTTACAATCGCCTAATGTGATGTACTTGATGCACATCGAAACTGCAATTGTGTAGCGATTTTGACATGTTTTCGGTGTAATATCTTAAAGTAAATAATATTGCTCTACTTTGTATTGAGCCCTCTTTTAAATTAAATGTTACGAATGTTGGAATTGTACTCTATTCGTTGACATCCTACCTGGATATATATATATATATATATATATATATATATATATATATATATATATATATTCTGTCAGTAACACTTAATATTTTCCTTCGCGGTTTTCAAAGCACAACATACAGATTTAGTGTTGAAATTTACTAAAACAAACATATAGTTGAAAATTACAAAATTATATATTTTATTTTATTTATTTTCTCAACTTCTAGAAATATTTATTTTGTTAGTGGTTAAACTGATTAAAATGGGGAAAGTATTGGAGTAGTGGTAAAGTCGGTGGGCATTGAAAGGAATACCCGAAAATTTGCTTTGAATTCAATATTTCCTAAACATTTCACTCACCTCTGTGCCAACATCAGATAGGGTCACACTTGTTACCAATTCCAACAAGAAGTCATTTAGTTCGTTTCCATCAATGAAACCATTGCCTGAAAAAAAGGAGGAAAATGCATATTAATTTTAAATTAATATATTTACAAATAATTCTTTTTCATATTTCTTAATTTGGAAAAAAATTACTTGATAAAAATCCTATTTTATTTTACGCTACATTTTTTAAAATGCTATTTGTTTTCATCAAGAATCTCCACGGCTTCTTTTTCTTTATATGTGAATTGGCATGGCTTAGAATGGTTGCCATCCAAGGTTAGAGAGGACAGTCTATTTATTTAAAACACCTTGCCCTTTCAGGACGTGAGCAATCATGGCTCTCCACAGATTCCTTTTCTTTATTATCTGCCAATTGAGATGATTACCTGAGAAAGATAATGGAGTGGTTTCACACCTTGTATTCATAGAAGCTACCCAAGAAAAATTCCTGAACCTAGTTTTCTATAAGATATTAAGATAATATTTTACTTTTGCTTCCCATTCAAAACACCATTTCATTAGATTATTTAAAACTTATTTTAAACTTATTGCATTGTATTATATTAAGGTTTGGTTTGTTTTACGGTATATCAACCTCAATAGGTTATTTAATGCCGACAAGATTTTTAATGCTGGCAATATTATTTTTTTTCAAAAATAAATTGTGGTTAATATTTTTTCGTTTAAAAAATCTATTTCTGGTAATATTTTTCTTTCAAAAATGTATCGCTGATAATATTTTTAAAAAAATGTATAGCTGGTAATATCTTTTTTTTTCAAAAATTCATTGCTGGTAATAATGTATTACTGGTAATATTTTTTTTCTTCAAAAATTTATTGCTGGTAATAATTTTTTACAAAGTATTTCTGGTATTAAAACCTATTTTTACACTTTCATAGTGTTTTGTCCCCATTTTAGGGGTTAACTATTTGCCCATAGCTGGGACCTTAACAAATGCTACCACCCCGGGTTAGGGTGGACCTGGGAACACCAGCAATTAAAAGGTGGTTCCACGCTCCTCAAAACCTCCTGATCAGGGGGCCTTGCTGTTGGACATAGTTTACCACCATACCCAGGGCGGTATCATATTAAAACTTACTTATTAAAAAAAACAACAAAAAAAAAAAAAAAAAAAAAAAAAAAAAAAAAAAAAAAAAAAAAAAAAAAAAAAACAACTCATGCATTGTTCCATGAAGACGTAGGCGATCATGTTTCTCTATAAATTCCTTTTTTTTTTATTTTTTAAATCTATGAATTACTATTTACACTATTTACATTGTTCGGACTATTGTCCTCATTTTCATTGTTATATTCACGAGGTTTCGGCCGTTGTACACTCCGGCCTTCTTTAAGTGGTATCCCGGTAGACAAAATAAGGAGTTCGGTTCGAAATTCCAATGTGTATTACCTGAAGAAGGCCGGAGCGTACAACGACCGAAACGCCTGGAAGATTTAAAATAAAGACAAAGACAATAGTCCGAACAATATAAATAGTGTAAATAGTTACAATACATAATCTCAGAAATATAGACAGCTATGAGTTACTGTAAATTCTAGGGAATTAACTGAAGCTGAGATATCGAAGAAAAGGTATGGCACGTGGAATTAGAACAATCTACCCTCGTGGACAAAATAATGGGTGTGGTTCGAAATACAAACGTATATTACCTGAAGAAGGTCGGAGCGCACGACGGCCGAAACGTCGTGAATATGGCAATAAAGATTAGGACAACAGTCCGAACGATGTCCGTCCTGGGTATGACGATAAACTACGTCCAACAGCAAGGCCTCTGATCAGGAGGTTTTGAGGAGCGTGGAACCACCTCTTAATTGCTGGTGTTCCCAGGTCCACCCTGATCCGAGGTGGTAGTACTTGTTAGGGTCCCAGCTGTGGGTAAATAGTTAACTTCCAAACTGGGATCAAAACGCTATGAAAGTGCAAAAATGGGTTTCAATCCCAGAAATATTTTGTAAAAATATTACCAGCAATAAATTTTTAAAGAAAAATTATTTCCACCTATACATTTTAAAAAAAAATATATCTTGTCGGCATTAAATAACCCATTGAAGTTGATATGCCGTAAAAGAAAATAAACCAAATAAACCGATCTATGTAAATAGTATAAAGAGGACAGTTGTTAGCAAGCCGTCGTATAAGATAAATCAATGGGTTTCAAGACACACATGGGAGGAAAACCACGGGGAATGCATCAGAGAAAGCGGAAGTCGAATTAAATCATACTTATTATAAAATCCAGGTTGTGCGCGTGTGTGTCTGTTCGTTTATATATTGGATGGGATTTCCTACATTTTTCAACCGATTTCAACTAAACTTCACAGGACTACATAAAATTACCTTGCGGTGGTTCTGACAGCACCAAAAATTGGAAAAACACAATTGTTTTTGCACGAAATCAATTTGAAAACATAAGAGGCATACTTATTATAAAACCCAGGCTGTTTGTTTGTTTGTGTGTGTGTGTGTGTGTGTGTGTGTGTGTGTGTGTGTGTGTGTGTGTGTTCGTTTATATATGGGATCGGATTTCCTACATTTTTTAACCGATTTCCACAAAACTTGACTTTTTTTTTTTGGCAGGTAGTGTTTCTTATTGTCTTGCACACTTTTTTCTTTATTTTTACATTCAGAATGCTTTAAAAATTCAATTTACAAGACAATTGTTTATAATAAAATTCTGTTCAATCGGTAGACTCATAACGATTGAAAACAATGTTTTTTTTTGAGTTTGGGTTTGACCAATTCGTAAAAAAAAAAAAAAAACTAATTAAGACATGCGTGTCCGTCAACCTTAAACAATAATCTTTGTCAATTTTATTTTTTAGTCTTTATGATGGTCGATACTTGATCTATCTCTTACTGTTACATCCCCGGGCAACGCCGGGCTCTACTGCTAGTTTTACATAAAACAACGGAAGGAGTCGGGATTAGTTAAATCTGAATGTAGAACATCAGTTGTCAAGATGAAGAGAAACAAAGCAACAGAAGCAGATGTGACTCTCATAGAGATGCTGACAGTTGATGATCTTTTGTTCTTTTTTTAATGCCATGTCCCTTCATGATGTAGGCGAACATAGACCTCCACAGATTTCCTTTCTTTAATATCTGTGAATTGCCATGACTTCTTGAGAAAGACACTGGAGTGGTTTCCTGTTGTCTTCATCTCGCGTTGAATTCAGAATTCCCCTTCTTTTAGACTGGTTGATCTCTATGGCTCGAGAGCCCGGTGTATTTATTTAAAATGCCATGTCCCTTCAGGATGTAGACGAAAAATAGCTTTCTACGGATACCTATTTCTTTAAAATCTATGAATTGCTGTTCATTCTGGAAAATGATAGAGCAGGGGTTTCCCGTTGCCTTTTTCACGGGTTGAATTCAGAATTCCCCTTCCTTCAGACTGGTTGCTCTCCAAGTCTAGAGAGCAAAGTCCATTTAGTTAAAATGGCATGTCTCTTCTGGACGTAAGCGATTATGGCTCTCCACAGATTTTTAGGCAAACATGACCATTCGCACCTGCAAGAAAACTGTATTTCAAAAGGACGGTTTTTCTATTGACACCGTTTTTATTTTAACACCGTTCACTCGTTCGGCAATGTTTATTTACAAGAGTATTAAAAATTATTTACGTTTTATAAAGATTTATTATTTAGCATTTTATAAAGAAATAAATGTGGAAAGGCATTTTAAAAATTACCAACAATTTAAAACTTTTTCAAAATTATGTTTTTCAAAAATGAGCGGGAAAAGGATTAACCTGTAATTGCTGGAGTTTCAGATCTTGGATTTCAAGATCACGATTTAAAAAAATGGAAAATGACTGAACTGAGATATAAAGTAATCTGAGTAGAAAATGTATTACGTCCAGAAAATCATGTTTATTCAAATTTTGTTTTATAATTCATTGATATAAAATTATGAATAAAAATCTTGTGTTCATAGTTATTTATAAAATGGTAAATAATAAATATTGCATTGTAGAGGGTTTACATACAGAATTGTTTTTAATGGCATGTCAACTCCTTATGGTTTATTTAATGCCGAAATTTAATTTTCTTATTAGCCTTGACTATATGAGATGTTATTCTGCTTTCACAATTGAATACATGGTAGATAATACTCAGCTTTTGTGCATATACATGGTTGTGTGGACGTTATTACTAGAGGCGGTGTTATGTGTGGTTTATCTTTTAGTTTTGTTGAACTTATATTTTGGAATACCGTTTGATTTAAGAAATTGTAGGATATTATATGGATTAATGTCATGAAAGAATTCTTTCATATTGGTTGTTAGCTTGATTTTGCTTAGCGGCATATCAACCTCTATGGGTTATTTAATGCCGAAATCTAAATATTTTGAACACAATTTTATGGCTGCAACTAAATATATTTTGAACGCAATTGTATGCCTTCAACTAGGAATAAAATGTATTGTTGGTCATTTTACTATGAATATGTATTGTTGGTTGGTTGATTTTGCTTAGCGGCATATCAACACCACTATGGGTTATTTAATGCCGAAATCTAAATATTTTGAACATAATTTTATGGCTTCAACCAAATATATTTTGAACGCAATTGTATGCCTTCAACTACAGATAAAATGTATTGTTGGTCATTTTACTATAAATATGTATTGTTTAAGTTTTCCGAGCCTGAAATAAACATTGCAAGTCACTTGCTGGCTAAAAGTATCTTTGTCGTTCTCACGAGAATTAAAACGATGTCAGCGGTAGCCATACACGTTTAACGAATCGACAGCCATCATGTGTGTAAGCATGGCGCATCTGAACTCGTGCGTAGAATAATTGACGAACGGAACGTTTAACCAACCCTGAACTAGAGTATTTATTTGTCCCCATTGGATTAATAATGATTTATAGCTAAAAAGGTGGATTACTTATGGCCAGAATGCAATATGTCACTCGATCTACACGTGTCTCTTGATACACGACCTTTATTTTGCTTTGGGTGGAGTTCGCATTTTAGTATCCATGGGCAGAAAACGCCGCGTGTGTTGTCTGGTCATAGAATAATGATTTTCG